GGTGGAATAAAAGTAGCTTCTCCTAATTAATCACTTTCCTAATTGGGGGCATTTTAATTCATCATTCTACATTAATGAAAATTCCTTTGGCTATTAATGACTTTTCCACCAGGAGTTCATTTAGTTTCTGACCCTGAAGCCCACCTGCAGGTTCTTATTACTATTAGATTTAAAAGAATCACTTCATTTACTATATAAATGTTTATCATACTCTCACTCTGCCATATGTTGTATAGTATGTGAGAACCAATATGTTTGCTAGCACAGCCAAGCACTGTTAGTAAGTTTCCTAGACCTACTGTAAATAATCATTTCACAAAGAAAAAGTTCTCATTATAATCTTGTATTAAAGAATGTTGGTGCCACTACTGTAATATTGCCAGTGTTAGTACAGTGTGTTGTTTGCAACATTTAAAAGCAGGAAGGCAGAATCTGATTTGAATGCACATTTCTGATCAGATAATAATAGCACTGCAATGAGTCTTTTCATTTTCAAATTAACCTGCTGATTATTCTCTCCAACATCCATGAGTCTGTGGTAGAAAACTGAAAAATGTCCATCCTGTCCCTGTCTCTCCAAGTCCAAGGTCATGTCTACAAATGTCTTTCGTTGTCAGAACCACAGTCCAAAATCCAGTGAAGCTGAACCACAGCAAGCCGAAACATTCTGGTTGTGCTTTTTTAAAGGTAGGGTGAGCACAGTAAAACACATGACACCACAGAGGCAGGCAACAGTGTTCCAGTAGAAGGAGGGCTCTAATAATCAAGTCAATTTTTATTTATTTAGCCCAATATCACAAATTTATTGCAATTGACACTCAGTCCTTAGACCTTTGAATAGAATAATGAAAAATCCCCCCCAAAACCCTTTAAGAGTTAAAATAAATGGAGGAACTCTCAGGAAGAGAGGAGGGGTCCTTCTTCCAGGACAGACGGACATACAGAACTGAGCAGGAGTGAAGAGATTATGCCACACTCACAATTCTGATTAGAAAAAGTGAGGTTGCCTTAAAAAAAAAAAAAAAAAAATACCAGTAAGCAACCTCTACTGTTGGCTCCTACATAATAATCCTCCTGCATTCTCAAAGCATCTGTGATGATACATTCAGGACTCAATATGTAATGCAAGCTAGTGTGTTACAGCATGAATCACACTTTATACCTAAACCTTTACGAATAAAAAAGTGCATTTATAAGCATATCTTTTTTGCAGTGAGTGGGTTTGTCTGCACTCACAGCTTTTAAAAGCATGTGCTTTGTGGATACGACTTATTAATATATTTGTACATGTGCTTGTTTGTGCGCTCCGTGTGTGCTGCACAGTATTCAACAATTATACAGGTATCTACTTATGCGCTGTTGACCTGCTTAATGCAGGCTTTTGAAGAACCATTTGCAGAGCAGAGAACTTGACACACATTTACATAATAGCTCAACATCTGAGAGGAGAGCACGGCCCCAGATGGAGAAAATGGCGCGCTGGAGATAATGTGTGTGACCATGTTTGTTTCTGGTCTAATAACCTGCAACAGTACAAAGACAGACAGATGCAGTTATCCCCATAAAGGGACTCTGTTTGTGTTTGTGCTGCCACACTGTGGGTCTGACAGCAAGAGTGTGGCGTTGGTTTTTGTTTGGGTACATTTAGGCTACAACATTTTTTGTTATTAGTTGTAGTTATTTAGTTATTAGTTAGTTTTTTTTTTGTTTTTTGAACCAAAACAAAATTGTGGCTCTTGATCAAGGTCTGAATGAGATGAGACAGGTTTTGCTTAGAGACATTTACTGTAAGTAGGACAGATGTGTGTTAATGTTAAATTCATACTAGGCCTGATATTCAAAAGTTTTGAAATCCAAGTACATTCACACATCCTGAACAGACACACACTGTTCACACATACACGCTGAGACTGCAGTGAGACAGTGAAGGCATTTTAGAAAGGTGGTCCACTGAACCCTGAAATGTGAGTTGACCTCTCTCAGGTCCAGAACAGCTGATCAGAGTCAGGTTAATTAACTCTGTGGTGACTTGCTCAGAGTTAAGCATGAGTGTGATGAATTTAAAAAGGCATCATCAATAGATCTCCAATATTATGATTCACAATGACGGGCAAATACAGAGCAGGCCGCCATTTTAATTCAGAGGAGCTGCAAATAATGTGTGACATTAGTGAGCAGTTGTGAAAGAACCTGAGTTGGAGTGAGGAGAAAGTCAACAAATTAACATTGGTACATTTTATTCTAGCCCATTGGATTTCTTTAATGGATAATAAAGTGCTGGATTCCCACGTTTCTTATTTAGAAAAATATATTTATTCTGCTGTAACCTGAAGGGGACAGAATGTGTTGGTGTCTTACAATGAGCAGAACATGTCAGAACATCACACTGGACAAAACATGAGTCTATCATTTCTTGGTTTGCATTGACTTTCATTTCTTCTCCTTCAAACTTCCCTATCACATCAGATTTATTTATTTTTATTCCATAAGGTAGGCAAGTTAAAAAACATTGTAACAGTCTGGGTACAGCTCAGAATCTGAGAAACTGCTCTGATTTAGGTAGATCTCATATTAAAGTGCTTCTGTAACAGACCTCACGTATTATTCACAACAGCAGCCATGTGCACGTGTTTATATGCACTACATATTTGTGTGTCGCGTTTGGCTGTGTGTGCATTTGACTCATCACAGGCTCAGTGTTCAGTACCTAAACAGAGAGAGAGAGATAGACGGAGGGTGAAACAGACAGGTTAAACCAGACAAGGACAGACAGAAATAAAAGAAAAATGAAAGGAGGGAGCGGTGAAAGAAAGAAGAGGTGGAGCCAGACTCAGTTTGAGCTCATCTCACATGGGTTCAGAAAAACACCAGTGCTTCAGACATGAATACAACATCATTATTATGCACATGCTGTGACGTAGTAGCCCCAGAATTCGAGACTATTCTCCTGTAAAATACAAGAGTATACTTCATTTGTCCCAGTGGGTTATTACCACAAAATGTAACATGTCATAGTTCAGCAACATCTAGCCACTGTATTAATGATGACACGAGTCCAGTATCAGTGTGGCTTGTGTTATTCAAGGTTTTTTTTTTCCTAAATGTAACCAAGTAGTTTTTGAAGATTTGGTTCACTTGGACTAAGTGCACCCCAGGCACTAAATACAGTGCCTAAATAAAGTTTTCTGTGTGGCAAAGCATAATTAAATCGTGATGGTTTCATAGTCATAGTATCATACAGTATGTATAACAGTTTCAAAGATGACGGAGCAGTAGTAGTAGATATAGCATCATATTTATAGCTGTTTCCATGACAACAAAAGTCCTTAAAGATTGGTAGTGCGAAGTACGCTGGTGTTAATGTTGGCAGTATTATTGCAATTCCTCCCACACCCATCGGAGCGCTCTTTAGTTTGGCCCCAACCTACATATAGGTTGGAGGTCTTGTTTATTCTACTCTTCTGTTGCACATTAATTAACTGATTAAACTGACTTACCCCCCTGTTCAAATGGATGAAAGTTGCATATGGACAAAACAAATGCACACACTGCAAACTCACATACTCACGATATTCTAGAGAGAAGACAGGCCAACATTATTTGTTTAGGCTGGTGATAAGCTTCACTTGTGATCGACAGTTTGGAGTTTTCACATATTACCAAGATGCATAAACGACCTTAATTTCAATCAGATACTTTTGTTTAGTCTGTTTTTATGTATTTTAGAGGCAGCATTTTAATTTTGTTCTTTTTTGTGCAGCATTATGTAAAATCTTCAGTACGATTATGAATTAAATCCTTGGTTAGGTTTTTCATCTGTGCTGATGGCGAAGCAGATTATTTCATTTATGTGTAGATGAACCTACACAAATTTTCACGCATCTTTAAAGGCATGATGGGCCTGCGGATTGTCTAGCAAAGAAAAAGAGTGTCAACAACAGAAACTAAAAGGTCGCCAACACAAAAGAGAAAAGAACAAGACACTGCTGATTAGATGTGATCTGTGGGACGTGCAGTGAAAAAAAAAATCTCCAGCAAAGATAACCAAGCATCAAAAATTGAGACAAGACATGAAAAATGCTTAATTGAATCTATTCTGTGTCATTAAAAAGGTTCATAACTCAGTTGTTCAGCTCCAAGCAATTATTTTGGTCTGAATCAGCAGCAGGGACAGTTCAGTGGAGAGACAGGGTGACAGCTTCAGAGAGACAGCTTTAGGTTTTCCCTCAGATTTGGTTCACTTGGACTAAGTGCATCCCAGACAGAGTCTTTACAAGACTAAGGCAAGCAGCAGAGGATGAGTAAAGCTGGGAAGCAGAGTTGTAGGTGTTGTAAATGGTGGCAGGAAGTCAACATCTCCAGCTTTCAACATGTTTCATGACTCTGACTAATACACAACTGTTCTCCACATGGTTTCCACTTTTGAAAAGAGGGAGTGAATAAAAAAAAAGCTACAGTGGCTAAAATGTTCAAGAAAATAACTGATCATAAGCACTGATTTTAAGATAATACCTTCCTAAAAAACAGCCACGACGCCAAAGCTGCATTTCTACTGTCAGAACCTAACTAATGGTACGTCTTAACCATCCCCCGGCATAACTTTGAGGGCTGACACGGACCATCCTACTTTGCTTTTCCACTGTATTTTGCACTGTGGCAGTCCCTGTTTAGAGGGGGTAGGGGCTGTGCTCATCCAAAGGTGGCAGAGGGCGGTGGAAACAAATGCAGAACCTGTGACGAACATTACTTGGCTCCACACGTTTCGGTAGGTTCCTATAAAGGAACGAGGTTGCCATCTGTCAAACCTTCTACAAAAGCAGTCAGACGTGCTTCATCTCCAGTCAACATTCACCCGCCACAGAAACCAATGTGCAAGCATTTGAACACAAACAAAATGCAATGTGTGAAACAGTGGCAAACCTTCACCGACAGCCACAGTTCATCCGTACAAACACACACTTAGATCTTGTGGCAAACAAACATAAAAGAAGGATACTTACTATGGTGAAGTTCATGACCTTAAGGATCCAGATAGTTAGTGCCAAGTTGATCAGGATCAGGATCATCAGCAGCAGGACGAAGAAGTAAAGGCAGCGTTTCCTCCAGCCGTATATTCCCACTTTGTACACTTGGGGTTTCTCTGAACTCTGGACATTGTTCCTATGAGTGCACTGTTCTTGGGTCATCTGTGAGGAGACAGAGAAGGAGGAACAAATGATTATGCCTGAGGGCAATGTGTTGACTTTGGTGTCTTTCACACATGTACATACATTGATTTTGGCCACTTTTTGGCAACAAAACAAGCAACAAAACATTTTAACTTATTAAAGTTGTCATGATGAACATGTGAAAGCTGGTCATCCAGGAGACACAGGTCAACCTTTTCTTTCAAGACTTTATTTTTTTTTATTTTTTATATAACAAGTTAACGTGGACTTATTCAACTAGAGCAGACAAGACTTCATAAAAAAATATCTGAAAAATGTAGACAAGCTTGCATGAGTTTGATACAGCAGTGCAAGTTGATGCAAGTCTGCACACAGAAATAGCAACCACTACCGAGGGCCCTAATTTGAGGATCCACAGCGTCCATGTTCATCTTGGTAGTTTGACAATGGGGAAAAACGGTTCGAGCGCTCGTGCAAGTAGCAAAAGGGTTGTACTTGATCTCCTGTTAAAGTGGCGGTGTGATTTGTGCATAACATGCAATTATCCAATCAGCGTGTAACCTCACATCCCCTTTAAGATACGTGCGAGTTTGAGAGTTTGGCAGATTGCTAGCATACTGGTGGACTTGCCAGGTTGGACGTCTGTAAGATTTTCCACTGGGGAAATGGATCTGCTAATCAAAATGGTATTTATTATAAATACATACATATTGATTTGCACAACACCCAATAAACACAGTCATCTTGATATTTTTTTAAGTTCCAGGGTATAACAAGCAGAGTGCTCGACCACAGACCTGGTTTTTGCTGATCAGTGCCACAGTCACTTTGTGCGCCCTCATATTACCAGCACACCCAAAATTTATATGGACACACCCCATTTTCATCCAGACACATCCGCCGGCGAAAAGTTGACAGACTAAAACGGCAGTTGCGCAGATAGGAAACTGGGAAACACAGATGCGTTATCTATGCCGGGTGCCATGTGTTTGTTGTAAGATAGGGCCCCAGAGTGACAGTGATATTGGTGGGATGGATTTGACAGTCAGTACTGACTGGTCAGGGCAAAGTAAACCAACACATGTTTTAATGTCTTAATTCTTGATATGGAGATGTTGAAGGCTGCACTGCCTGAACTGCTTCAGTCTCTTTCTTTGTGGCCTGGTTGTTATGTATTCAGCAAATACTTTGGGCTTCCATCACTGAGACTTGCTCAGAGATTTGTGATGGAAGTGCAGAGCCTCTACACAGAAAATGACAGTAAGAGATAAGATGGGGTGCATGAACATTAGCACAAACAACATGCCACTGCAACAGTGTCTGCGGAGCCCCTGACCAGCTACTCAGTTCTGGCACGATGAAAGCAATCCCACTGACTGATTGGCCTGTAAGCGGTCTGTAACTCCATTATACCCCCTCTGCCCCACTGATGTGTAGATAGTGGCGATTAATGATGATTCTAATTTTCTGCCTGTAAAGATGAAGAGGTATTGTTCACTTCAACCGCCATAATAACAGCCTAATAACTCTGTGGAAAAATACAATTTACTGTCCTCTGTGCTTTGGGGCCCGTGCCTAAGACCACCACAGCCAATTGTTTTTGACAAGCACAGACATTACCCTCTAAGCGAAACAAATGGCACAAGACAGGGCCAGGGTGAGAAAGTGCTGAAAGCTACAGAGGAGAGGCCAAAGCACCAGTCAGCAAAAGCAGGGTGGTCTTATTGTGTGCAGCTGGATTTTCATTTCTGTTTGAGGCATTTATTTGTGATGTCTAGGTTGATAAAGAAAAGAGAAATCAGTGCTATGAGAGTAAACAAAGCTAAAAAAAAGGCATCCCCACTACTTGTTTCTGCTTTTCTGGCTCTGACACACTCTGTTTAACTTGGCTGTTTTATTCAGCACCAATAATAATCTTGAAAATACTAGCAAACTTATAGTATATGTTACCTTGTATTCAAAGTCAACATTCTGGAGACTGTCCTGTAAAATTGGACTCCTTTGTGCCAGCTGATTATTACAATCAATAGTTAGGTGCTATAATTTAGTAACTTCCAGTGATTATAGAAATTATGTCACAAGCAGAGGAGCAAGTAAGGTGACACATTTTTACAGAGCCAAAAAATCCATGTTAGGAGGAGTCTAGCTACAGTAGGTACACAACGTACCAGCCTTTCCTCCAGTAGAACAGGGTTCAGGTCCAGTGTGTTTTTCAAGTAGTTTTTGTTCCTAAACCTAACCAAGACATTTAGATGGCTAATGAAACCAAGACAGTTTCATGTTTATGACCGTTTCCATGACAAAAAAGTCCATAAAGCTTGCCGGTGCAACTTACTGTATGTTATCGTTAATGTTGCAAATCTGCCCGGCAACATGGTGGAGCTACTTCAGGAGAGGGAGGGGACAAACAACCACATGGGTCATACAGGATGGAGGACTTGACATTTTGTGTTTTGTGGCCATGTTTAAGGAAAGCTGATAGAAGGAATGAATGAGCTCAATACATGTAAATGTTTATATTTCAAAACATTTCCTTCTAGGATACCTTGTCATGCTGGGCAAGAAGAAAAAGTAATCCTTTAAATCTCATTTTGAGAATTAAAGACCTGAATTTGGACATGTTGCTGAGCTGCTTTGGAGTCTCTAGGTTAACAACAGGGTGTTTTGGGAGAAGACCACAACGACCAAAGTTTGGAGCTTAATCCATCTATGATGAAATGACATGTTCATACAAATGCAAAAGGCCAGCATGACACTGGTGCTAGAGGAAAGGTCTGGTGCAGCAAATTATCCTCTCTGGACTCTGAATATTTACACCCGATTTCATTGCAAACTGCTGTGGAGATCATCTCAAACTGGATAAAAGTGGAGAAAAGCATCCTCCCTACTGAACAAATCCTGGACTAAGTTCAATATGTTGTTTCATAATCACACATCCCTCACAAGTATGTGCGACTGCTCTTTCAGTCTAACAGCAGCACCAGCTTGTTCAAGCTAAGAGCTTTGTTCAGATGTTTCAAATACAAACATGGACACAATGACACGCAGCTGTATGAGCCAAAAGTAACTCTCTCTAAGGCTGTTTGATCGACTACTGGGAAACATCCCCATAGAGAGCTGCAGCCTGTGAGTGGGGATTAATAACGTGTCTGATTGTGCATCACACAGTCTGCTGTTTCTATCTGCAAGCACCTGCCACAGCACAGACCTTCCAAATATGGCTGAGTCGTGGCAGACACACTGTGTTCACCCTGGAACAAACCATCGTCCGGTCCTGTGTGAACAGGATACAGATCAACTGACAAGGCTGCTCGGACATTTGCTTACACCAAGAAGCACGGTTATGAAAAATCGCACACAAGATACAAAGTCTGACACATTTCCTCCCTCTAGATTTGTTTTTGTCCCCCTCTGGTGTGACAGGCTCCGATAACTGACCCTGAAACTGATATGGAACTAAAACTTCAAAATGAAACAGATCATGTCAGTAAGATTTGGTTTGGCTGGTGAAAAACGAAAAAGTCATGCAACATTAAAGTCTTGAGACAGTTTTGGAGAAAAGTATTTAATAAACAGTGATCAAACCCCAAGCCTAGTAAACACCTTGGGACTGGGTAGTATTTATGTTTTTAATCGCACTGCTACTGAGGCAGTCTAATTTCTTGCGGTTTTTGTTTACTGGAATAATTACTGTACATCTGTAACCAACAGCACTAGTATTCAAACAGGACAGAAGTCAGTATGCCAGTCAATACACTGCAACGAGAACAGTTTTAATTCAGAAATACAGTAAAGTTACAGTGCAATAAAAATCTCTGTTGGGCTTTTGTGCCGTCATGCAGTTTCACCGACCAATCAGTTTGCTTTTCTGCAGGCTACACGATGCACTGTTGGAATCTGTGACTTCGTGTCTGCTCACAAACTGATGGTCTTAAGCCTTTGCAATGTATATAAACATCCAGGAAATGCTTCATGTCAGCATTCATGTCTATACTATGGAAACTAGAGTTATAGCTTCATTTATATATAAAGATACAGTAGGTGTCAGTCTCTGTACTGTATTTCTTTTTTGGAAGTAAGCATGGACTGAAAAAGCAATATTTTAAGTTGTACAGTATCAGAATGCAGGGACAGTACCTTAATAAACACAGAAGGAACTCGAATCAAAAACCCAAACAAGCACAAATGGATAGTTTTCAGTATTTGCAAATGTGCTCCCTGCTTGATTTGGTCTCTCATTTCTACACATATCCAACATGCACCCCTCACAGAGTGTATCACAAATCAGCTGCAGTAATGAAATATAACTCCTCTCTCTTCTGTGCGACACACTCACAGCCCATGCATAAAGAGTGCTGATAGCTACCCAATAAGCTCTTAGGCTACAGGCTGGCTGAGAAAAGAAATTGGTGCCTGGTTACAAGCTAAATAATGGCCACTCTCATAAGATTGGAGGTGTGTGTGCTAAGAAAGTTGAGCTAAAGAGAAGGGGAGGAAGAAAATAAGTGGCAAATTGGAGGCAAATCAAATCATTGGCCTTTGAGTCTTTTTCTCTCCAATGCCGCTGTCCAGCGGTGCCTTCTGTTCAGCCAGCGATTCATTCAGAAAGGCTGAAGAAAACCAGCGATCCACAGACAAAGTCTGTCTCTGATTAGAGAAAGAAATGAGGTTTTACAAAATGTTATTGGTTATTCTTGCTGCCAAATAGCCAGGCAGCTCCCCATTATGACTTTTATGGGCAACATGTGGATTGGTACCAGGACCTGGCGGCTGCTGCCAGTGGATACGCCATTACTGGGGCTCATGTGCCTCCCAAAGTATGAATGCACAAAATGGCTAACACCCAGAGGCAGTTTATTGGCTGCTGCAATGTGTGGGCAGACAGGCATGCAGAGAAATGAATCTGCTGACTGAAAGGTTAGCTATACAGTAAATACTGCCTATGCACTATATGGACAAAAGTATTGGGACGCCTGACCACTACACCGACAGGGGTGTTAATGACACTGCATTCAAAT